GTTTTCATTAAAAAAAACACTGTTACTTACGAATACAATGTAACATTTTCATCTACAGGAGTCTTCTCGCATTAACACACAACACAATAATGAACCATTTTCGCATGTAATTAGAACGCTAGGCTACCTTTTCACGATAGAAATATAAATAAATAATGAAAAAAATCGTCTGCAACTAGCAAACGCCAACACGGAAAAACAGGTTAATACTTGTCTTTTTTTTAATCGCAAAATTTGACAGCATTTACACTTCTCAATTACTTTGAAAAAAAAATTGATTTAATGATAACTAATCTTTTTAATACTTGAGTTCAATTTCCTAATAAACAAAAAATTTATGCCACAATATAATTATATAAATAAGATTTTTCAAAATATCAACAATACATTTTTAATTTAATTATTTGAATTCCAGAAAAGAAAACAAAAATTTTTAACATAAAAAAAACCAGGGCAATCGGAACTCGATCCTTGTCGAGTCATCACTTCGCGGGCCTAAGCCAACTCGGCTATCAGCACGTATCATTAATCTATCATTGAATGCAGTATTTAGAGTTGCACCTTGTGGCCGAAGATATTGTGGCATATGTTTATCAGTATCACAATCAGTGTATAAAAAAAAATAATAATAATAATAATCATAATAACAAATAAATGAGTCTAATTATTAAAATTATTTTGTACGTGTTTCCTATAAACAAGTTTTGCATGATCAACAGTAATTTTACTATTTTGTAATTTGTCATGAGTATGTACACTCATATTGTACGTAATTTATTATACATGCATGTTAACTAATACTGTTTGTTTGTATTTTTATTATTGTTACTATTACTTACGTATAATGGTTTGTACTTCAGAAGGAAAACAAAATTTTTTTAAATAAAAAAAAGGACGATCGGAACTCGAGTGACTCTCCCCACGCCTTAGTCAACTTGACTATCAGTCTGTGTCACCAGTCCATCAGAGAGTGCAGTATTTAGCCTGCTGCCCCTCTTTGGGTTATTGGGTCATTGGGTTATTGGAACGCATGTTTCGTGTTTATTATTGACTTTCGAGGGTTTGAGCATGATTTAAAGTTTAATGGGGGTTATAATTTTATAATATTTCTATTTCTTTAATTTAAATTTAAATTTACCGCAGCAGCCAATCAGGTGCGTTGGCTCCACCTCCTAGAGACAGATAGCACAGTCACTACACATTACAGTGTGCTAAAGGTTTTTCTGTTCCGCCTGCGGTCTATATACTTTCTATGTCTCCAGATGACTAAACAAAAGTGACCCACCTGGTGTTTGGATTTGGAACCTCTGAAAAAAAAAGACAAAAACTAGCAGACAAGAAGGGCAAACTAATTTTAATGGTTGTTTGAAAATTTGAATAACCAATGAGATTAATAGACATATTCAAAAGAGCACCCAGTGGCTCAGTCGGCTAGGTCGTGGGTCAGCACGCGGGATTCCGCGGTTCGATTCCCGGCCAGTGCGACATTTTCGGGCAAGTACCTCTGTGAATTTCACATATGCTTTTTCACCACGCAATGCTCCTCGAGGAGGGATAGGCGAACTTCTCGCAGCAAAATTGCCTAATTTTCTCCTTCCCCCTCCCAGTAATGGGAGGCCTCCCGCGACTCTTTTCGTCCTTCTCTTAAGTGCCAAGTGCCCTGTCAGTGTTGGCAAAGAGGATCTTTGCATACCCCACCACTATCGGAACTTTTTTAAGGAAAAGTTTCGAAGCCAATCAGAGCAGAGTTAGTTACATAAGGAGCGTATGGGAAGACTTATTTCTCCTAGGGTTCCCATATACTAAGGCGTGTTCGATCATTTAATGACAACAGGGCTCCCAAATCTTTTAAATTAATAACACGAGCACATATCACCCCATGATCCAGGGCGCTTACTGGCCATCCTAATAAATAATTAAACCTTGAATGATAACGCAAGCGACTATCACTCGATGAACCGGGGTGCTTACTGGCCAAATTAGAGTGGCCAGTAAGCGCCTCGGATCATTTGGTGATGGGCACTTATGTTATTATTAAACATTTTAATTATTTATTAGAGTGGCCAGTAAGCGCCCTGGGTCATTGAGTGATATGTGGTTGTATTATTAATTGAAAAGATTTGTGAGCCCTGTTATTAAATGACCGAACACGCCTTAGAACATGGGAATCCGAGTAGAAATAAGTCTCCCCCTACACTTCTGCTGTAGCTCTACTCTGATTGGCTTCGGAACGTTTCAATGGAAAGTTCCAATAGTGGTGGGGGTCAGTGTTCGTATTGTCAGTAGAATTCCATCGTCATAGGTTTGGAGATAAAGTTGGCAACTCTTACAAAATGCGTAGAGACCTTACAACGCAACTCTACTCACTCCACGCATTTTGTAAGAGTTGCTAATTTTATCTCCAAACCCATGACGATGAAATTCTACTGACAATATGAACACTAGTGGGGGTATGCAAAAATCCTCTTCGCCAACACTGTACCCTTGGTAGAGCCGGACGTTAAAGCCATAGACGTATAAAAAATAGACTTCTCGTTTTCATATATGACGCTGAAGGCACCGTTGGCAACGTGCGAGAGAGACAGATATGCAAGTTCGATCTTGTGTCTCTTTCTACTAGTGCTTCGGCGCCGTGCATAAGAACGAGCAGTCTATTTATTTTAGGCCTATGGTTAAAGCACTATAATCATAGAGATAAAAGAAAAAGACTGCTCTTTCTTGTGTACGGCGCTAAAGCACAAGTAGAAAGAGACACAACATCGAACGTGTGTATCTGTCTCTGTCGCACGTTGCCAACGGTGGGGTGGTTGCATCAGTTGGTTTTAGTTTACTGACCCCCACCGTTGGCAACGTGCAAGAGAGACAGACATACACGTTTGATGTTGTGTCTCTGTCTACTTGTACTTCAGCGCCATACATAAGAACGAACAGTCTATTTTTTATATATCTATGACTATAATATAAAAAAAAAGTTAACATATATTCATAAGTACATATACGTAAACAGGGTTACTTTGTCTTCTGCTTGTCTACGATTCGGCTTAGTGAGCTTTGAGGGAGGAGGAGACAATGTCCGCCATTTGAGGCTCATGGGGAAAAGCGTGAGCTTGAAAACGCAGCATTTTATACGTCACGATGTACATATATTTGTATGGATATACGTATATGTACAAGCATATGACTCAAGTCCCCAGAAGCCTCCAATAGCGGCTAACCAATTAACAGCGGTCCCATCGGTGTCTCCTCACTCCCTCGTCGAAACTCACTAATTCGGCTACGTTTGCAGAGCCATCTAGTGGGGCTTAGTCATCCGGTCATCCGGATATGTGTGCAACCAACGAACTCAATATTTTAATTACGTTTGACATTGGAATTGATTAAAATGCACTGTAACATGCCTCAAAAATTTTTTCAATGAATTATTGAACAATATGTAATTTGTAGGTAAATTTTTTTCAATATTTATGGATTTTTCAAAAATTTTTGTCCTTGTAAACATTAAAATTGAGGTTACATCCTACAATAGCCTGTGTTCATGACATTTTTCATATTAGGTTAATTAATAAATTAAAATCAATATTTTGTATTGGTATAGTTTTTTTTTAAATAAACTTTAACTGCTGCAAAATTTGTATAAATTCTACATATTTTAGACTATCAAGAAAACTCAATATAATAGTGATCCCTGCATTTCATTGAACCTCCTGAATCTCCTCAAAATAGTTTGTTAGTATATATCAGTGCCCTCAGGTGAATTTGGAAATTCAAAGTGATCAGTGATCCGTTGGGGGCGAAATGTGAGAAAATAAATAAATACAAGTAAAGTGTATTTAAATTTTCTTGCGTTGATTTATTAATGCGCAACGTTTCGCTGACAATATGCGTCAGCATATCGACTGATAGCACGACAGGTGACGAGTAAGTCAACCAAACTTACGAATTCTCGCGTACCTGCGCCTGATGAGGCTGACGCATATTGTCAGCGAAACGTTGCGCATTAATAAATCAACGCAAGAAAATTTAAATACACTTTACTTGTATTTATTTATTTTCTCACATTTCGCCCCCAACGGATCACTGATCACTTTGAATTTCCTCCTCAAAATAGGTCAAAATATATAGTAACAGAATTTTAAAAAAAGAAAAGTCACTATTTTTTTGTTGTAATTTAAACAAGGGATGGCAGTTAATAGTTATGATTTTAATTTTAGTTGTAATTCGAGTTGTTCAAAATTTTCAATGACTTCTACCTTCATGAGTAAGTACATAAAAAAATAACTAAAAACAATTTCTTACTTGATTGTAAAGGCTTAGAATTTTAGATTTTTACTTGAAAAACCTATTCGTAGATTTAGAGTTAAAGTTAGTTCTTCAATTCTGCCATTACAAGTTTGTTACAACGATCATATGCATTCTATTAGTTGAAGCAGTCTAACATATAGTTCCTAGCACTAGAGTATGTGTTAGTAATTCCTAGCTCATTAAAGGTCAAAATATTTGAAACAATTACAGATAAAAGTATAATTCATAACTATTGTTATGCACACTGAAGAGCATTTACATGCAACAAGCTCTCAGACTTGGAGGTAATAATTTACTCAAACAAAAAATTAAAATGAAAGCTATCATATTTGCAGCCCATACCAACTATTACATTAATATGTAAACTACTCTGGTTAAAAAAATATGAAAACTAGAACGAATATAATGACTTGATAACAAAATGAGTTATGATAATACAGGAGGGAAAAAAGGGGAGGAACACACATTGAATAAAGAATACAATTTTTTTAACAGGCGTCACCACAAGTGCTGAATTACAAATGTAGCTGAATTGCATGTGCATTTAGTGATAAACTGAACTTTTTATTTAAAGATGACTGTAAAGGCTTTGAATTGAATTTTTTGTCAGTATATATGTTCAGCTCATGCGTAGTATATACCATATACAGTCAAAGCGCGAATGGTTTCATTAGTAAAGAGATAATTTGAACACTTACCATTGTATCACTCACAACAAGCTTTAGAATGATACCTCACGACCTTTTCTGGGTGCACCTATTGTTATTGAGGACTTAAAAAACGGCTCAGGCTTCAGTTCAGATTACAAGCATCTGCTGCTACAATTTCTCTTTTTAAAATTAGACGTTCTTGTTGCAAAAAGTTGAGGTGATGAAGACCAATACACATGACACCTTACTTTTCAGCTAAGTAATAATAATCAACACACTGTCTGCTGGACAAAACTTACTACTTGGCTTCCAGAAATTCCTAGCTTCGCACTTTCGAGACCATTGATATTCCTTCTACTGGATACATGTGCTGTAAGCTATAACTTAAAAATAAATTGCCCTTAAAAATAAATTACTTGCTTTTAACAAGGGATCAAATCTTCGAAATTACGAGGGGGAAAATGCGCGCGTCTTGGATCGGTTTCGGTGCTTCAGTAGCAAAAGGCGCGTACACAGACGCAGAGCACAAGGTTTAGGGCTCGGCTCGGGCACATGGAACCGCGTAAAGCCAGAGATTAGTAGGGAGATTGTTGACTGCCATATGCTACTTGCTACGGAGTGTGCCACTGTGCCCACTTTTTTCCAGTGGTTCGAGCGCCCCGCCGCGGCCAAGCGGCCGAACCAGGTGCACTTTTTTTTTTATTCGAGAAGCACGGTAGGGGTATGAGAAGAGTGGATTCGCGTGGAAATGTCCATATAGGCGCACATTTTAGAGACGCGTGAAAGGAGTATACCGAATGTGCGCCTACAAGGAGAGGAGTGGAAATGTCGGCTATACAGCTGTAGGGGTAAGTGTACCAATCTCCGTGGCACACACTGAAAATTCCAACTTAAATGCACCATAAAATATGGTAAACCAAAATTTTTTGGAATATTTTTTTTTTTAATCTTACATAATCTCTTACGGAATATTTAAAAAAATTTTATGAAGCTAAAACTGCAGTAGAATATTTTTAAAACGAATAAAAACGGTATGCTGGTATTACCGTGGTTGTGTACCTATTACCGTGCACGTATTACCGCGGATGTATAGGGTTATGTTTACGTACGCTCTCCGCGGAAATACGTACACAATCAGTTAATGAGCGCTTTGTACCAAATACCGTGGAAAATAATTATTTACTCAAAATATACACAAATATTTCTGTTTGAATTGCATCTACATTAACGTCATTTTAGATTATTAAAATTGAAAAATTATTTTATATGAAACATTTCTTATTTTGAGCAAGTAATCATCAGTTTTTCAAAATCCACGGTAATAGGGCAGAGCACGGAGATAGGTACACTTACCCCTAT